AGTGGCTGGAGCAGAGAGGTGGGGTAGAACAGCGGGAGCTGTGCGGATGGGTGAGGTGCACATGTGCCTGCTCAGACCGGCCAGAAAAGCCAAACATAGGAAACTGCCTATGTACAGAACAAATCAGCTGAAGGGGTTCTTATTAATCTGCCGTCTGTGACTTTCGTTATTTTTCAGGTTAGTTCTGAGTTTTCTTGCCTTTTAAAGGGAGAGGAAAACAAATCACATACTATTTTATGACAGGGCTTTAAAAAAGGGAAGGGATAAAAAATAACATCAATGTGCCATTATTCTTTATGAAGAAAAGCATAATTTAGCCTAAAGATTCATAGGGATGGGGTGGATGTGCTTTCATTTTTTTTTTTTTTAACTAGAACTAGGTTAAAATTGATGGTACTGAAAAGAAAAAAAGTTTTATGGAGTCCAACAATTGAATCTTTCTTGGCCCTTAAAACATTTCAGCCAGTGTCATTCAAATTTGGACTAATTTTAAGCCTGACCTTTGACAGAGCTTCATAAACTCTGGCGAGGATGCTATGATAGTTACCAGAAAGAGAGGATGACTTTGAAGTTTGAAAACTTAGAATGAGATATTTTAAAGCTGCCAGTGGCCTTCACAGATGCCAAGTAAAGAGAAGAAGAGGCTGGGGAGAAAGGACTGACTTCAAGAAAAAAAGAAGAAAATTACTGTCAAGGCCCCTAAAACCAGCCTATGAAGACAGGGTAGTAACGGGGAGGAAATTCAATGGCTCTTTGACCAAGTTAGTCATGTAAACATGTTTCTCAATGATTTTGGGTATTTTTCAATGTAGTTTATGAATTTCCCATTGTAAGGAATTCAAGTAATTGCAGGAAGTGTTTCAGTGGGTAAGTGGAAGGGGGCTCAGTACTGGTTGGTGGGGAGCAAGTTCACAGTTTGGCCCCTGGGCCACTGGAATTAAGCGACGAAAGGGAAGGTGCTGTCCGCTGGCCCCGGCTGGTGTGGCAGGCCAGCCCTGCGGAGAATAACATCAATGTGCCATTATTCTTTATGAAGAAAAGCATAATTTAGCCTAAAGATTCATAGGGATGGGGTGGATGTGCTTTCATTTTTTTTTTTTTTAACTAGAACTAGGTTAAAATTGATGGTACTGAAAAGAAAAAAAGTTTTATGGAGTCCAACAATTGAATCTTTCTTGGCCCTTAAAACATTTCAGCCAGTGTCATTCAAATTTGGACTAATTTTAAGCCTGACCTTTGACAGAGCTTCATAAACTCTGGCGAGGATGCTATGATAGTTACCAGAAAGAGAGGATGACTTTGAAGTTTGAAAACTTAGAATGAGATATTTTAAAGCTGCCAGTGGCCTTCACAGATGCCAAGTAAAGAGAAGAAGAGGCTGGGGAGAAAGGACTGACTTCAAGAAAAAAAGAAGAAAATTACTGTCAAGGCCCCTAAAACCAGCCTATGAAGACAGGGTAGTAACGGGGAGGAAATTCAATGGCTCTTTGACCAAGTTAGTCATGTAAACATGTTTCTCAATGATTTTGGGTATTTTTCAATGTAGTTTATGAATTTCCCATTGTAAGGAATTCAAGTAATTGCAGGAAGTGTTTCAGTGGGTAAGTGGAAGGGGGCTCAGTACTGGTTGGTGGGGAGCAAGTTCACAGTTTGGCCCCTGGGCCACTGGAATTAAGCGACGAAAGGGAAGGTGCTGTCCGCTGGCCCCGGCTGGTGTGGCAGGCCAGCCCTGCGGAGCAGCGACCTGAGCGAGTTCATTCACGAAGTCTGCATACACCCCCCCACAAACATTTCTTAGAGGGGAGGGCTTGTGTGATTTTTCTCCAGTGTATTTGGGTAGCAGTTTGATTCCCTTGCTTTAATTTCCATAATTGGTAGCTTCCGAAATGGCTCTGGCAGACAGTTTGCTTTAAATGTAGCCACCTATTCCAAAATGCCCTGGTTATTTTAGGCACCCTACCCTCTTCCACCCGAGCTCTTTCGCAGGACTTCTTTTGGACGGGGCAGGGGGAGAGAGTGCTCCCGGAGTAGACTCCTGCAGAGGTCACTTTCTGGGCGCGGGGTCGTCCCCAGTGTCTGTGAGTAGCATATGCATGTGGTTGTGCTGACTGCCCTCGCAGGCTTGTAAATTTTCACCCTGGGAAATTAGCAACAAAGCCCGATCTGTCTCGTGGCTGCTCTGCACTTTCCGAGGGCGGCTGTACTTGACTGAGCTGCAGAAACAGGCACCCGGGAGCGAGCGAGGGAGCCTGCGAGAGAGGGAGGGAGAGGAGGGAAAGCAGAGAAGAGGGGAGGGGTGGGGGCGAGAGGGAAATAGTCTTAAATCGGAAGAGAGCTGCTTCTCTGTGGTCTTGACAAGCGCTGCCTGGGCTCGGCCGGCTCAGTAATAACCGAGTGACCTTTTCTCTGGCTGTATTATGTCTGGCTGCGAAGGGATTGCATTTTGCAGCTGAGAGCCGCGGCTTCCTTCAGCTCGGCTCCTCGCTGCTGCCGGGGTAAGTTGTCTCGAGCCAGGACGGAGAGAGACAGCCTTGGACTGCAGTTGCCTAAAAGGAGGACACCTGTGGCTCAGATGCGGTCAACACCATTACTTGGCGGATCCTTGAGGACCTCATTATTTTAAACTTAAAACATAGAGATTCCCTCCCCCTCTTTTTTTTTTTTTTCAAACAATGCTTCTTTTTGACCTTTCCCAAGGAGAAGCGCTACAAAGCAGCCGCTGTGCTCTCTGAACGGCCTCCCCTTGTATCGCTTAATTGAGAAGGTAAGTGCAGCAACTGTGTACACACGCTTCGGCTTATTTGCGGGGTGTGTGTCTGCGGGTGCGCGCGTGCGTGTGCGGATGAGGACAATGCTTCTTTTTGACCTTTCCCAAGGAGAAGCGCTACAAAGCAGCCGCTGTGCTCTCTGAACGGCCTCCCCTTGTATCGCTTAATTGAGAAGGTAAGTGCAGCAACTGTGTACACACGCTTCGGCTTATTTGCGGGGTGTGTGTCTGCGGGTGCGCGCGTGCGTGTGCGGATGAGGGTTATTTTTTTTTTCTTCCCCTGCCTCCCCTAATGAGGCATAAACTGGAGCTGCAGCCCAGCTCCGCACTGCAACTTTCGCTCGGGCTGCAGCTCTGCTGAGATGGTTTTGTCTAAATCATGTGAGGCTTCATTATTTTTATGATGAGACATGAAATAGACGCAGGCGGAAGATGTTGATGGAAGGAGGGAGAGCGGCTGCGAGGCGGAATGTCTCAAGTACGACTCGAGTGGATAATAGTCAAAGTTCACGATGAGCTGCAGCATCTCTGCACCCCTGACTCCCGGGAAGAGAGGGGCAAGCAGAGTTTGGAACTGGGAAATATGCGCTCGGGCTCAGCCCACAGGAAGGGAATTCAGTCCGAGGTGGGTCCCGGACCACCTCTCCTTACTTGCTGGCATTCAGGACTCCCTCCCCCAAGAGTTGAATTACAACCTTTGGATTCTTGTTGGCACCCCACCTCTCCCCATTCTGTCCTAATAACAAAACCATGGTTCCTACGAGATGGAAAAGTGACTATTTGCAGGGGAGAGGGTGATTGGGGACAAGTGGCCAGAAGGGAGAGGTTCCAGAAACAAGGTGCCTATGTCCTAATAGGCTGAGATTCAAACTGATGCAGCCCATTTTTACGGGGACGACCCAGATTGCTGTTATGAAATACAAGTTAGATTTATGGTCTTTTTCATATTGAGCATGATATGCTATGCTAACGCTGCATGTGACAGTTTAATCAAATCCATTTGTTACCACGAAGCTAAAAGGGGCCGCTGGGATTTTAGGATTACGGGCAGAGTTAGGGAAGCATGTGGCTTTGTCATTCGCCATCATTTTGCACACTGCCACGCTGTGAGGGGCTCTGTGTGTGCGCTGTGTCTGGTCTGGCCGCCCTCCTCATCCCTTCCCCCACCCACTGTCGCCACTCTGACCCGCTCCCAAAGTGGCTTCACAATAGTCGGTCCTCGGCAGTGTAGGCTGCGCACCAGGTCCGCACTTGAGCTAAATCCAGAAGACCCCCCTCCACCTCTACCTTTGGGTTTGGTGCTCAATGCAAAGCTGCTGCAACTCGGGCACGTCTAAGTCAACTCATGCAGAAAAAGGAGAAAAGTTTTGGTAAGGTTACAATCTATCGTGGATGCACTTTGCCGGCGCTCGGCACTCTTGGCTGCTCAGAAGCCTTCCAGCTCTTCCGCTGCTTTTGTGTCTTTTTAAAAGATCCGAAATATTATTGTTGTAACTGCTTTGAAAGACTGCTGCTTAAACCAATTAATCTCGCTAGGTGCAACAAATAATGCTACATTCTTTGCAAATCATCCCTGTGTGGCTGCAAAGACACAACCACAAAAGGCTGGAGCATAAACTCCGCAAGGGATTCTTTGTTAGAGTGTATGTATGTTTCTTATTTTTTTTTTTTCTTTTTGCATGTGAGCTGCATCAAAATTGAACTCAGTCTTGCAAATCTCTTGTTGGCCTTTGCCAAGCACTAGCACTTTGCTGCCATGGTAACTGTAATTAAACTGATAAGAGTGGAAAAATGTCAGTATCTCTGAGCCTTGCAGCTGCATTGGAGAAAAAGGGAATCAAATTGGTTCCCAGCTCCATTGCTCAAAAAGGGGAGGGGGGTGGTGGAAGGATGATGGGGAGGGGGGTTGTGGAAGGATGATGGGGAGGGGGGTTGGGAGTTGAAGGGGCAGAACAGAGTTAAGCAGCTCCAGTGCCTGAGATCTGGGGACATCTATTTGCACTGTTGTCCCTTAGGGGGCTGCAGCCTGTAGGGATGCTCTGGGCCAGTGAACAGAGAGAAACAAGCTCTTAGGTCCAATCCAGTTCTCCAGTCGGGGCTGGGGGCTGGGGAGAGGATGGAGATGGGCAGGAGGAGAGAAAATCTTTTGTTTGGTACCTCTTGGCAATCGAAGGGCCTTGTTGGCCAAATTCTTTTAATCTGTGTCGCTGCTCCCAGCTGCAGAACCTGCATTCCCATTTTAGCATCTTCCTGAGGCACCTCATCTCTGCCAATCCCCTTTATGTATTCCCTCTTCCTGTTCCTTCTCCCATCCCTTCCCCCACCCACTGTCGCCACTCTGACCCGCTCCCAAAGTGGCTTCACAATAGTCGGTCCTCGGCAGTGTAGGCTGCGCACCAGGTCCGCACTTGAGCTAAATCCAGAAGACCCCCCTCCACCTCTACCTTTGGGTTTGGTGCTCAATGCAAAGCTGCTGCAACTCGGGCACGTCTAAGTCAACTCATGCAGAAAAAGGAGAAAAGTTTTGGTAAGGTTACAATCTATCGTGGATGCACTTTGCCGGCGCTCGGCACTCTTGGCTGCTCAGAAGCCTTCCAGCTCTTCCGCTGCTTTTGTGTCTTTTTAAAAGATCCGAAATATTATTGTTGTAACTGCTTTGAAAGACTGCTGCTTAAACCAATTAATCTCGCTAGGTGCAACAAATAATGCTACATTCTTTGCAAATCATCCCTGTGTGGCTGCAAAGACACAACCACAAAAGGCTGGAGCATAAACTCCGCAAGGGATTCTTTGTTAGAGTGTATGTATGTTTCTTATTTTTTTTTTTTCTTTTTGCATGTGAGCTGCATCAAAATTGAACTCAGTCTTGCAAATCTCTTGTTGGCCTTTGCCAAGCACTAGCACTTTGCTGCCATGGTAACTGTAATTAAACTGATAAGAGTGGAAAAATGTCAGTATCTCTGAGCCTTGCAGCTGCATTGGAGAAAAAGGGAATCAAATTGGTTCCCAGCTCCATTGCTCAAAAAGGGGAGGGGGGTGGTGGAAGGATGATGGGGAGGGGGGTTGTGGAAGGATGATGGGGAGGGGGGTTGGGAGTTGAAGGGGCAGAACAGAGTTAAGCAGCTCCAGTGCCTGAGATCTGGGGACATCTATTTGCACTGTTGTCCCTTAGGGGGCTGCAGCCTGTAGGGATGCTCTGGGCCAGTGAACAGAGAGAAACAAGCTCTTAGGTCCAATCCAGTTCTCCAGTCGGGGCTGGGGGCTGGGGAGAGGATGGAGATGGGCAGGAGGAGAGAAAATCTTTTGTTTGGTACCTCTTGGCAATCGAAGGGCCTTGTTGGCCAAATTCTTTTAATCTGTGTCGCTGCTCCCAGCTGCAGAACCTGCATTCCCATTTTAGCATCTTCCTGAGGCACCTCATCTCTGCCAATCCCCTTTATGTATTCCCTCTTCCTGTTCCTTCTCCCAAATTGTTCTCTGTGAATCTTCCGACGGGGACAAAATGTTTTCCATTCACTATGTGTAGTTAGTCCAAAAATATAAAAGACTGTATCTAAGTGCTGCAAATCTTTCATTATGATTATTTTTTGTTAAACCCCTGTGTGTTGTGGAGTTGTGGTTACTTTGTTGTGTTAACTACTGAAGCTGAGACTGCGCGGATGAATGGCACAGAACAAGGGAACATAATGGAGGCAATCAACCGTTAGGCCGCCTCACAATGCAATCCAGGCAATTAAAAGCTCACCAGAGTTTAAATGAAATGGTTCTACTTATTTCTGCACACTACACTGCACAGGCTATTATTTATGTCTTTTTTTTTTAATTATGATTTCCCTAAAACTGTCAAATAACTCAGAATGGCAGGGTCTCAGAGGCAATAAGAATTTCCCTCAGAACAATTTACATGCCAATCTAAAACTAGTTATGAGTCCTGATGTGCTATGAGCAACTTGTGAAATGTTTCTCGGCTCTGAACACAGAACTCTCCCTCGTTGTGCCCCTCTGGATGGTGAGGGGAGACTGCTGCCTGCTTTATGCCTTTTAGGTATCTGGCATGTGGTGACTACAAAACAGGTCATTTTCTACAACTGCTAACTTACAGAAAATTGAAAAGATATCCTTTTCAAGAGAAATGTGATGGTGTTCCCAAAAAGAAGGTACCAGGTTGGGAGTGTAAAATATCAAACTCCTTTTATGCCCAAAGCCAAACAGAATGTAAGAGTTTCAAATATTAATTGGCCTCTGAGTGCTAAATTAAAATGTCAACAAAACAAAAACATTTTGTGAAGACATGCAGGGCAGTATTACTTGTGCAAGATGTTGATATTCCCTGTCTTGGTTGCAAATCGTTTTGAATAAAGGTAGTTGACCTTCTACACTTGATGGTGGTAGTAACTCAACCAAGGGAAATATAGTTTAGCTACAACGAAAAAGGTTTAAAAATTTTTTTCAGCTTTGTGATTTTAAAAAAAAAGTAGCCTTGTAGGCTAACTAACTAGAATAGCCACCCATAATATATCTCTAGATGTTTTCAGTAAGGAAATCCAGAATGTCATTTAGTAAAATCAAAATTTCCCCCTCCCGCCAGGTATATGGTTAAGAGGCACTTGGGTCTGTTCTGTACTGTAATTAATGGGATTCATTCCTTGTGGAGCCTCTTTGGAAGACGGTAACTAGTTCTGATCAAAGAAACTTCATTTGTTAGAAGTTCCAGAGAGAGAGATTAAGCAGAGCTATCAAGGGTTATGATTAATCTACACTAGACCCTTAGCCTCTTCAAAGAAAAGGAACAGAAAGCAGGCTGTAGGAATACCACCTGCTTTTCTGTGCAAACCCAGCTGCTAGTCCGCAGCTCCTGTGACCACGCTATGCCTGTCATGCAGAAAGAACAGCTACCCTGCCTTCCTCCCTGCCATTCTCTACTCCATTACTCAACTAGAGAAGTTTCTTTCTAAAGGCAGTTCAGCATTGTAACAATATCACATGCAATTCATGTATTATTTGTAGCTAGAAAAGTTATTCAGCTGTGAGGGTACAGTGCCTTGATGTCTCTTATCAGTGTGATTAAAAAAGGAAAAGATTGTAGAGGTAATGGAAATGGATGCTTCATCACGAGGCATCAGAGGATACTGAAGACGGTTTAGCTATTTTGGAGTAGGGAAAGGTGCAGAAGATGCTCAAGATTATAGCTTGGCATTTGTTTTCTTGAAACTGTTTCAAGTGCATCCACATTCGGTGTTTTGTATCCTTCTGTGTCCAAGTTTAAAACTTTATGCCTAGGAAAGGAGGCATGATATAGTTGCCCCATCTCTGGACTGTAAGAAGGCCACCTAGTCCAGTGCTTAACTGTCATTCGGTTTTGAGCCAGTCCCTTACCCTCTCTTGGGCCTCCATATTATAATTGCTAAAGTCAGGGAATTTTGAACCAATGATAGATAGCTGCAGTATTTTATAGTGCTGAAAATGAGTTATTTGATAAATATGAAGCTGTGAATAGTTGGTCTGGCTTTTCTTAAAACTGGGTGTTTGACTCTTAGGAAAAAAGAAACTCAAAGGTGAATATCTGGTCACTGAAAAGATTTCCATTAGATTGTAAAACCCATAGAATCCAGCTAGACCTGCCTATTTGTGATAGAGGTTTATCCCTAAAATATATAAATGACCCTATCTCTACTAGAGTATTTTTATAGTATATGTATGAAATAAATATATATATATATACACACACATGTATGTTTATGTAATGTATATATATTTAGATTTTACCTTCCGTTTTTTCTTTTTTCTATAAAATAAATAAGTGCATGTTTATGGTAATAAATTACATAATCCTATAGTTTGGTTTTAAATAAAAGCATGTCCATATAGTTAGGCATTCTGCCATTAATTGAGACACTGACTGATGCTTGTGAATATAAAACATTTTTAAATTTTAACATAATGAATACTATGAAGACATGCAGGGCAGTATTACTTGTGCAAGATGTTGATATTCCCTGTCTTGGTTGCAAATCGTTTTGAATAAAGGTAGTTGACCTTCTACACTTGATGGTGGTAGTAACTCAACCAAGGGAAATATAGTTTAGCTACAACGAAAAAGGTTTAAAAATTTTTTTTCAGCTTTGTGATTTTAAAAAAAAAGTAGCCTTGTAGGCTAACTAACTAGAATAGCCACCCATAATATATCTCTAGATGTTTTCAGTAAGGAAATCCAGAATGTCATTTAGTAAAATCAAAATTTCCCCCTCCCGCCAGGTATATGGTTAAGAGGCACTTGGGTCTGTTCTGTACTGTAATTAATGGGATTCATTCCTTGTGGAGCCTCTTTGGAAGACGGTAACTAGTTCTGATCAAAGAAACTTCATTTGTTAGAAGTTCCAGAGAGAGAGATTAAGCAGAGCTATCAAGGGTTATGATTAATCTACACTAGACCCTTAGCCTCTTCAAAGAAAAGGAACAGAAAGCAGGCTGTAGGAATACCACCTGCTTTTCTGTGCAAACCCAGCTGCTAGTCCGCAGCTCCTGTGACCACGCTATGCCTGTCATGCAGAAAGAACAGCTACCCTGCCTTCCTCCCTGCCATTCTCTACTCCATTACTCAACTAGAGAAGTTTCTTTCTAAAGGCAGTTCAGCATTGTAACAATATCACATGCAATTCATGTATTATTTGTAGCTAGAAAAGTTATTCAGCTGTGAGGGTACAGTGCCTTGATGTCTCTTATCAGTGTGATTAAAAAAGGAAAAGATTGTAGAGGTAATGGAAATGGATGCTTCATCACGAGGCATCAGAGGATACTGAAGACGGTTTAGCTATTTTGGAGTAGGGAAAGGTGCAGAAGATGCTCAAGATTATAGCTTGGCATTTGTTTTCTTGAAACTGTTTCAAGTGCATCCACATTCGGTGTTTTGTATCCTTCTGTGTCCAAGTTTAAAACTTTATGCCTAGGAAAGGAGGCATGATATAGTTGCCCCATCTCTGGACTGTAAGAAGGCCACCTAGTCCAGTGCTTAACTGTCATTCGGTTTTGAGCCAGTCCCTTACCCTCTCTTGGGCCTCCATATTATAATTGCTAAAGTCAGGGAATTTTGAACCAATGATAGATAGCTGCAGTATTTTATAGTGCTGAAAATGAGTTATTTGATAAATATGAAGCTGTGAATAGTTGGTCTGGCTTTTCTTAAAACTGGGTGTTTGACTCTTAGGAAAAAAGAAACTCAAAGGTGAATATCTGGTCACTGAAAAGATTTCCATTAGATTGTAAAACCCATAGAATCCAGCTAGACCTGCCTATTTGTGATAGAGGTTTATCCCTAAAATATATAAATGACCCTATCTCTACTAGAGTATTTTTATAGTATATGTATGAAATAAATATATATATATATATATACACACATGTATGTTTATGTAATGTATATATATTTAGATTTTACCTTCCGTTTTTTCTTTTTTCTATAAAATAAATAAGTGCATGTTTATGGTAATAAATTACATAATCCTATAGTTTGGTTTTAAATAAAAGCATGTCCATATAGTTAGGCATTCTGCCATTAATTGAGACACTGACTGATGCTTGTGAATATAAAACATTTTTAAATTTTAACATAATGAATACTTTAAAATATCAGGGGCACAGAAGGAAGTATTTGGGTGCAAACAAGTAACATAAGATCAGTGAGTGTTTTGGGTGACTGTAAGGTGCTTAACTATAAACTTCTCTACTACTAAGTCAGGTTAGTGTCATCCCATAAGGGTGCACTGTCCTTCTACCATATTAAGTGAAAATTTTAACCAATTAAAAAAAAAACATTTTGGCTCCTATAGATGATGCACAAACTAGTTTGTTAAATAGCTTTCATTTAAGATTGTTAGCCGATCACTCACATTTTCTCTCTAAAAGAGCTGCTCTATGGAGCGAAAGGGGATGCTAGAAAATGATTTAATGTCACTTAACTTCGTGTATATCATGTCAACTTACTGTGTGCACCACGAATTCATTATTTTCACCACCTTCTATGTGTGACTTTATGAATGCTTTATTTAATAAGGACGTTATATAAAGTTTGAGCTTTTTGTTTCCGCACTGTAGTTGGATTTTAGTACGGCCCTAAAAAGGAAGGTCTACCACTCCTTGAAAAAGGCAATATTAAATATTTAACTTGTTTGAGGTCTTTTGACACCTTTTGATTCTTTCTTATAGTCCCAGCTCTCTCTCTCTCTCTTTCTCTCTCTCTCTCTCTTTTTTTTTTTTTGTCTTCCTTTAGGTATACAAATGCTCTCAGTCCAGCCAGACACCAAGCCGAAAGGTTGTGCTGGCTGCAACCGAAAGATTAAGGACCGGTATCTTCTAAAGGCACTGGACAAATACTGGCATGAAGACTGCCTGAAGTGTGCCTGCTGCGACTGTCGTTTGGGAGAGGTGGGCTCCACCCTGTACACTAAAGCTAATCTTATCCTTTGTCGCAGAGACTATCTGAGGTAGGAATTACCCTTGCACACCAGTGATGACTGCATTCCTTTTAAAATACATTTGTAAGTGTATTTTTTTGGTTTCACTTCCTCACTACCAGCTTATATTCCTGAAAGATGTTGACCAGCCAGCCTTCAACATGTTGCCAGGTGCCTGTTACACACACTGTTGTTTAAACAACGGTCATCAAAACGTCATACCTAATGTGTTTTGATTTGGCTTGCCTGCAGAGGATGCTCATATTTAGGGATAAATATTCCATTGCCTCTGTTCAGACTGCCCGTTCATGTCAAGGATGTATTTGGTAGAAATCAGCTTACCATTGTTGTTTTTTAATTATTATTAGTCTTTAAGTGACAAAATAGGTTGAGCATAACGTAAAGTTATTCAGCTGTCTTTCTGTTTCAGATTTGTCAGAGAATGTCAGTTTGAAATTCTAAACTAATATATTTATTAGTATATCTGTTGTAAAGTTTTGAAAACTTACCACAAGTGTGACTACATCCTCCCCCTCACACCCCCAAGGCATTCCAAGTAGTCATTGTGAAGCTCACTGAGCATTAACAGCCTCCGAATTGCCAGTAGGTTCATGGAAATTAACAACATAAACTTCTCCATCATTATGGAGAAACGATAGCCACTTTCTGGACTGTAAACATCTGAACAGTTTTAGGACAATTCAGTTGTTCTTGCTCATGAAGCCGTAAAGCCCATTAAACTTGTTTCCCAGCATTTAGCACTCAACACATGAACTTGTACTTAAGAAAAATTATTTTGCTTTTCAGGGAACCTTGTGACTTGATTCAGTGGCAAATTACTTATATTAATAAAGTAGGATCTATCAAATTAGAGAAATGATATATGGCATCATTTGGCTTTTCATATTTGATACAATGAATCACATTTCTAGTCCGACATTAAGTGATGTATTTTGGATTTTTTTCCCTTATGACACAAAATTTATCAGTCAGCTGTAACTCCTTAACCATCTTGGTCATTTGGGGAGGTGTTTTCTATGGAATTTGGTGCTTCTTGGTCTATAATTTTAGTCTGACTTAATCTTTTGTATATAAAACCATATCATTTGATTAATGGTGGTGAAAGAGGGTGAATCCAATTCTGTTTATCAGATTCTCTTTACCCTCTTAGGACTGCCTCATCTGACATCCTCCTGACTAATTATGGCCACTCTGTGGTCCAAGGGCACAAAATACAAACCACAGTGCCAACCATGGGAAATGACTCTCCATGGCCAGAATTTACCTCATTGTGGTGGCATAACTAATCAGAGTGAACTTATTCCGTGAGGGTTTTTTTAGAACTTTTCTCTAAAATAAACATTTCTCCTCTGCGCATTGTGAATTAGAGCCTCGTTTCCACATAAAGCATTAGTGTTTGGTATTAGTGATTTAACATTACTTCCTGGTTCTGCTTTATCTTTACTAACTAATAGTCATGGCTTTTTCACTCTGACTTTTGCATTTGTTTATAACTGCAGTATCTCAAGTGGATTTATATTACAAGAATTCCAAAGCAAAGAGTTTGTACAGTCTGGGCAAGATGAAGGTGTTCTAATAAGTTACAGAGATGAGAATTAAGTAAAATTTAAAGTCAGTCTCTTGAAAGATCTGGATTTTTTAATGAAAGTATAAATTTGCCAATGAAATGCCTGGACTGTGAGTGTAACTTCCACAGTTGTCAACGTAATAGCAAGCAGAGAAAGTAAATAGGCTTGTTTGGTGTTATCCTTCCTTATGGTAATAAAGAATGTGATGTGTAACGGCTATCCGATAGTCTCAAGTAAGTGTTTCGTTGAAGGGAATTTATTAAAATAATTTTCACATCAGAAATCTTATCTGTAAATGATTCTCTAGGTTGCTTCTTGTGATGCACCTTTAATTTATGAGACTCAAAAATTAAATGAGTTAATGCTCACTAACTAATTTTTAAGAAGTCATACTCTTTCCAGTAAAAATCCTGGTCCTGATTGACAATATATTCATTTCTCAGTGTATAATTTCCTCTTAAATTGGTCATTACCACATTAATGGCCAGTTGTTATGCTAACAGCCCTAAGGCTTGTTAACATTTCAAACTAAGTTGTTAAGAGCAAGCTTATCCCTTATTCCAAGTGAAGGTTTGTTGTATTTAACAGGAGTTCTCTTGCAAGGAGTAATTCCTCCACACTTAAAAATCGCAGAAGTGAAATGGGGAATTGGTATGTGTGTCAAACACTGTGTTGTGTGTTATTGATTATGCCACAGATGTGGTGTGTAGTTTTATGTGGAAAGCGTGTACCTTAGTTGAAAATACTGCAATTTTACCCACACTCAGTGAAATAGTGTCAATGTTCAACCATGCATGTCTCTGATTGGCAAGTTAAAATAGTCTGGTTCTGTATGTCAAATAGACAAATATAATCAAGCAAATTCTTTTTTACAATTTTTACAATTTCATTTCCTTAAGTGTGTATGGATAGTCATTCAAAAATGTTCATTGAATGCCTACTGGAAGAGAGGCATAATTTTAGGAAATGGATTAAGTTAGCTAAGGGAAAAACGAGGTGTACCTAAAATGTTTGTTTATTGTTTGTTAATTACACAAAACCTATAATCATCAGAGAGCAGGTAGATATTTTCATGAGCTTTGAAAATAAGTTTTTTCTCATTTCCCCCTTAGCTCACATTTCCTTTTTGTATCATGTACAGACAATGCCTAATCATTTAAATCCTATTAAAAAATGGTTTGGTTTGATTTTTGGTGTTTGAATATTATATATTCTTTGATGCACCAAATAAGCCATAAAAAACTTACTGCTTTGTATATCTCTGTCTAAATCACTAGGCATGTAAATAAAATGTGGAAAGTGAAAAAGAAAAAATTGTTTATCCATACTAGTAAATTATTGATTATAGGCATTTACCTGAGCCAGATAATAAAAAAAGTTAAATATTTTTGCCAATTGTATTTAACTTCCTAACTAAAGCCTCCTTTCAAAAAAAAAAAATGAAAACACTTCTAATGGTGAACACTGAGTCTCGAAGTTTTAACATTATGCATTACTTTAAGTAGTGATGGCAATGACATGTTTTTACAAGTTCTTTAAATAAATTTAAGAATTTAAATCAAAAGATATTCTCTTAAGGGTGACAAACTATTTTTTGTGGTAAATTAATTTTCTCGGGGTTTTTTCCTCCTTTGTGGCACAATTAGCTGTATTTGCGAGAGAGTAAAGAAAAGATTTCACAGTTTATGTACTGAATTTCTTATCTTAACAGTTCACTTTCCATAATGAGACTGTGTGCTTTATTTTTTGGTAGAATATAAAATGCACATTTCCAATGAGAGAGAATTTGCCAGTTTGTAAAATTGTTCTCCGCCTTCAGAAACTCATTAGATAAAGGAACAGAAGGATTGATTTTTAAAAACTTTCTCTATTAGCATGCTTTCTGACTTAAAGTATGAAGTCAGTCTGCCCATCAATATTTATATGCCAAGACCTAGAAATGTATCTGTTTAAAATATACCCACCACATTTATAACTTTTTATTTTTAAAAAGTTGAGCTTATGACGAATTAGACATGGAAGCATCTTTGTACCTTGAACAGGAGCTTAAAGTAATAGAATGCCTAATGTTGATTAACCATTATTATGTAAAAATAGCAAAGTGTTAGTAATTATATTTACAGGACTCTAGTCATGGCTAACCTATCCTTATTTCCACTTAGAAGATATGAATAAAGTAGTTAATGTATAATCAGAGTTTTAGAATTAAGATATTGTGACCAAGTGTTGAGAATAAGAAGTCAGAATCAGGAGAAAACAAAATACTTCACTTTTCAGTCTGCAGGCTGTAAAGAATATCAGAATTTAACCACTCAAGCTTTTGGGGACAATTTTTGCTTGTGTTTGTATGTGTGTGTGTTAAGCTGAAAGCTTCTTACTTGTGTTATATTTTAGGCATTACGTTGATACAGGCTGTATCTTGTTTCTCTGAATGGTGTCTTAGGAGAGAATGTACTCAAAGCTGTTTGCTGTGATGTTTGCCGTGGAAGCTGCTAATAGCTCTTCCTATATATGAGAAGCTGAAACTATCTTACATAAAATTGAATGCAATTTGCTATTTTTATACGTGGATGCTTTGTTTAAAATGTAACTGTGAAGAAAAAGTGATGCTTCATGTTCCAACAGAGTTGTCAGTTAACAAAAAGGATTTAAACCTGCTACGCTGGCTATAAATTTTATATGCTTTGATATAAGAATATAATAACTTTAAAATAGAAATTTAAAACTAAATGCTATGTAGAACATTAATCTAGTTATAACTCCATTTCACAGTGATCACATCCGGTGCCTCTACATTTCTTTTAAGGTTAAATTTATATTAGTGCATAATGAAGGCCATAAAAGTAAACATGACTATGTTGTTAATACTATTTCATCTGACAATTCACAGCACAGATTTTTTTTCAATGTGGAATAAAGTGTTCATTCTTTTTTCTTCCTTGTTATCTTTTTAATATTAGGCAGTTGAAAATACCTGGCCTAAAAAGCAGGGCAGTATTAAAAATCACTTTCTATTAATTTGAATTCTGAAAATTTAAGCTTCTATGTGGAAAGAAACTCCTCTCAAATAAACTTTTTTCTGTATGAACAATGTTCATTTGAGCTTTCTTAATACTGGATTATAGTCATAGTCGTAACATTTATCATATTTCAATGTCTAAGCTATTCTTAGTATTAAGAAATATTTTGGCATGTGAGTGTATTAGACTCCATGGTCTGTTAAAAACTACTATTGTACTATTTGTAAATTATCTTATTTATAGCTTTATAAAAAACTGTCAATTTAAGTTCATTTTTTTCTTCATTATAGAAAAGCTTTATTGAATTATATTTTAAACATTTTATGAACCAGTACAAATCAGGAGTCATGATTTTATTTTGTAAAGTACTTTGAGAAGGTGCCATCACGTTAGAAAACAATTGGGGGATTCACACTAGACT